ATCGTTCGTAAAGCGCCACGGTTGACCTAGCTAATAATGGTCACTGCTCAACAGACTGGGGTTGTCAGGGACGATCTACAGGGTGAATACTACTGTACGTCAGGGTCTTCTTAGTCTTCTCTCGTCAACGGCTTCCAGTAGTCCAAAGCACGTGAATAAATCTATACAGGCGCAAGGAACCATGAGTGGAGCGGCTGCCACGGTTGTGCAGAGAGCCAGTAGAGAGAATAGAAGATACATCTGAAATGAGCGAACTTTCCTGTAGAAATTTTTCGTCTTTTGAAATGAAGTTATCATAGCTATTTAGCCAAGCTACCGTAAAACTTAGCTACATGAACAGGAAATGATCTTTACTCGGACTATTACAACAAATTGTTGCCGTAGTAGTAAGTGCCCTATCACACAAGCATGGTCCGAAAGTTGAATCACAAACGGTACTCGCCTAGATCTATAAGCCATCAATCCTTCTAGTTGATTGTTAGTTGATTTCAGATTCAGCTAGAGGATAGAAGCATCGACTCGTACATTGGCTGGCCACCGTAAGACATTGTTTGGGTCACATGCGCATCCCAATGCCGTTACGGTTCAGAATGGAAGTAGAATACGGGGCGAATCCCGTTAACGGTTCCTTAAATCTCCAGCCTTTTATTCTGTAATTCTCAGTTCAAAAAAATAATTCTTGTCTGTTTTTTTCTTTCCTACTTTTCCAACTTTTCTTACATTCATTTGCGCACGTCTTTATAAATGAGGATGAAAAAGGTTATCGAAAAGTAAGTTACTCAGGTGACGTAAGCTAGAGGTCAGGCTTGCTTACCACTTACTAAGTAATGGGTTGATTTGATACATATCAAATGATACAGAAGCCTTGAGTTGAATTTAGTTTAGTTCAAGATTAGTTTAGTAAGAAAACCCAGAATATCAAAATCTCAGTAAATTATTCCGAGTAATATAGAAGGAAAATCCAGAGGAGTCGAAGTGATCACCACTACCTCCTATAGCCTTTAATACTGCCAAGAATGATTTTTCAGATAAACAGAGCACGTCATCATCACGGAACTTCTGAAACAAAGGATTTTCAATAAAGGATTAACATCCTGCGATCAGCTGATTCTGTTGACTTAATTCATTGAACTAATGGCCTGAATTTCGCTAAGAATGACCTCAGGGCCAATGTTCAGTGTATTTGCAGGTCACAGAATAGCTGCGGTTGAGCGACCATAATCCTGGAATGAATCAGCGGGGGCAAGAGAAGCTTTCACAGAACCTACAGTACCGTTCAAAAAGAAATCACCTTGAACCTTTTCTGCCATAACTCATCTCAAACTTAATT